TAATAAATCAGTTTCCTGTCAGCCTCAGCTGCTGTGACCTGCTGCCCAGTGACCTGGACCGAGTCTGGAGAAGTCTGGGGACCTCTTCTGGTCTCACAGAGTTGGAGTAAATAAAAACAAACATTTATCATTCTTTAAAAGTGACTCTGCATTAAATAAAACCTCGTTCATTTCTGTGTTTCCTGGCAGCTTGTCCTCCAATCGTTTAGGAGACAAAGGTCTGAAGAAGCTGCTGGACCTCCTGCCTCGGCTCAAACAAGTCCAGGAGGTTCAGTAAGTTCAGCAGTTCCGGTCCCAGACCAGGAGCCGGTTCCTGCAGCCGCTGTGTTTGGCCCGAGTCAGTACCAGTGTGTTTACACGACACTGGAAACATGACTCATCGTTATTTTGTGCCCTTTAGTGTCGGAGACAACAGCATCAGCATGGACGGAGCGGCTCTGCTGGCTGCTGCTCTGTGCTCCAACAACAGGCTGACACAAACCCACATCAGGTAGGACCAGGTCCAGTGAGACAAATACATAACACATTTATTATTTAGCTCTCTCTTCTTACATTAGGCTCTTTTTTTAAACTAAATTTAAATGTTAAATGATTTACATAAATGTGTAAATCTAAATGTAAAAGTTAAATCTTAAAGGTTGTGTCTAAATGTTGAAGTTTACATTAAAGAATTGCAGAATGGACCGGCCTTTGTTGCATTCTATAACAAAAGCTAACTCTGCTAATGTTGCTAACTCTATTATTACTGCAAATGCTGCTAACATTGCTAACTCTACTAATGAAGTACTAATGAATGCTGCTAATTCTGCTTACATTGCTAATGCTGCTAACTCTAATAATGCTGGTAACTGCTAACACTGCTAATGCCGTTTACATGGCTAACGTTGCTAACTCTATTAATGAAGCAAGCTCTGCTAACACTTCCCTACAACACATCAAGCTCAGCTAAAAAACAGTTACGGCCGATGTCTGAGCTGCACGTCAAATTGACGGACCACAAGTATTTTGTTTTCCACGAACACTCTTCGAATTTAAAATTTAAATCTAATCTTCAGCAGCATTAGCAACATTAGTAGCATTAACAGCATTAGCAGCATTAGCAGCATTAGTAGCATTAGCGGCATTAGCAGCATTAGTAGCATTAACAGCATTAGTAGCATTAGCAGCATTAGTAGCATTAACAGCATTAGTAGCATTAGCAGCATTAGTAGCATTAATAGCATTAGTAGCATTAACAGCATTAGTAGCATTAGTAGCATTAACAACATTAGTAGCATTAGCAGCATTAGCAGCATTAGCAGCATTAGCAGCATTAGTAGCATTAGTAGCATTTGCAGCATTAGCAGCATTAGCAGCATTAGTAGCATTAGCAGCATTAGCAACATTAGCAGCATTAGTAGCATTAGCAGCATTAGCAGCATTAGCAGCATTAGCAGCATTAGTAGCATTAGCAGCATTAGCAACATTAGTAGCATTAGCAGCATTAGCATCATTAGCAGCATTAGTAGCATTAGCAGCATTAGCAGCATTAGTAGGATTAGCAGCATTAGCAGCATTAGTATCATTAGTAGCATTAGTAGCATTAGTAGCATTAGCAGCATTAGTAGCCTTAGCAGTATTAGCAGCATTAGTAGCATTAGTAGCATTAGTAGGATTAGCAGCATTAGCAGCATTAGCAGAATTAGCTTTGATTTTGTCTCAGAATGATGACATCACAACAAAAGCAGCACACCAACAGCAAGGCTGCTTTTCATTCTGAAGTTCTTAAATGTAAACTTTATCATTTAACCACAACATTTGAAATTGAACTTTTATGTGTTTTGTTTATAAAGTGAAGGAGGCAAAAAGCAGGTGATCCTCAGATTCAGCAGAGATACGAGGTAAGAAGAGAAAAATATTTATGTTTTTAAATATTATCCTCACGTCATCATCTTCATTTCTTTTTTAGTGAAGACAAACTTCAGAGAAAGTTGTTCAGGTACTAATATAATAGTAATAGTATATATATATAATAGTAAACTAACAGATGATTCAGTTATAAATGATAAAAACTCAAACAGGATCCTGAAGTTTTCTCTTCTTGTTTTACAGAATAAACAACAGCAGCTTCCTGCCGGCTGATGTCACCAAAATCTGTAGAAGACTGGTCCAGTGTCGCTCCTGTCTGGAGTTAGAGTGAGCTGAGTTATAAACTGTCTGGTTTTAATGTTTCTGCACGTGCACGTGGTTTTATTTATGTGCACGTGGTTTTAATTCTGTGCACGTGGTTTTATTTCTGTGCACGTGGTTTTATTTCTGTGCACGTGGTTTTATTTCTGTGCACGTTTGTGGTTTCAGCCTGTCTCACTGCTCCCTGGCTGAGAGAAGCATGGAGAACCTGCTCAAAGTCCTGCCCAAGATGTCTCTGCTGCAGAAACTAAAGTAAGACTCAGATTCAATCTGCATCTTTTACAACCTTTGCTATTTCAGCTATTTATACTTTTTTTTTTAGCTTTCTCAGCTTTTTCGGCTACATTTTTCCTGTTGAAAATGAATGGAGCTGTTTTCAATATCTTTAAAATCCTTCAAACTGTTTCTAAATCTTTACAGAACCTTACACCTTTTGTTCTGGTTCTGCTCTTTTTAACGTCCTTGTGCTAAGTTTCTAATTTTCTATTTGCTAATTTTAGCTTTTTTCTGCTAAATCAGCTGTAACGCTGCTTGTTTCTGCTATTTTTTAAACCTTTTTCTGATAATTTGAGCTATTTCTGCTTCTTAGTTATTTTCTGCTGTATTCAGCAATTTGCTGCAACTTTAGCTAATGTTTAAGTGTTATTAGCTAAAGTTAAAATTTCACTTTCACCAACTGGCTGCTAATTTTAACTTGTGGCTGCTACATTTAGCTTATTTTTATGCTGATTTAAGCTTTTTTTCTGCTATTTCAGCAAAGGTTCTGCTCCTTTCTGCTATAATTTCTACATTTTGTGCTTCTTTCTGATAATTTGAGCTAATTGTGCTTCTTACATTTGCTTTCTGCTATATTCAGCTATTTGCTGCAATTTTAGTTAATGTTCAGCTGTTATTAGCTAAAGTTTGCTTATTTCTTTTTAACTAAATTTACATTTTGGTGGCTATTTCAGCCTATTTCTGTTTAGTTCAGCAAACGTTTTCTCCTTATGCTTCCTTGTGCTAATTTCAGCTACATTTAAGCTGTTTTACTGCATTTATGGGATGTTTCATTTATTTTACAACAAATTGTCATCTGTTTTGTATTTTTATGCTTTTTCCTGCTGATTATACATTTTTAAACCCCTTTCACCACCTGGGGGCTGTTTTCAACATGTGTTTGCTACCTTTAGTTTGTTTTATGCTGATTTTATCTTTTTCTGCTATTTCAGCTCTCTTTCTCTTTTTAAGCTATTATTCTACTGAGTTAAACTTTTTCTGCTTCTTTCAGCTTTTCAAATTGAATTCACTTTAACAGTTTTGCTATTAAACATTTTCAGCTCCATTTCAGCAGCTTTCAGCTGAAGTTTTCAGCAAAAATCACAGCAGCCGTTTCTTTAGCTGTGTGAACGCATTCACACAAATGAGATCATTTTTTTCTTCCGCACGTTTTTTTGGCACCTTTATTCTTCCACAATTTTTGTGCTACTTCAGCCATTCATGTATCAAAACGTTCAGCTCTTTGGTGCAATGCCGGCTATGACTTTTGGCATTTCAGCTATTTATAGCTTTTTAGCTATTTCAATGTTTTTAGCTACTTTTTCCCATTGACTTTGAATGGGGCTATTTTCAACAACCTTCAAATCCTTCAAATAGTTTCTAAATCTTTACAAAATCTTACACAATTTATTCTGGTTGTGCTCTTTTTTACTCCTTTGTGCAATTTTTAGCAACTTTTTTACTAACTTCAGCTGTTTTCTGCTATTTCAGCTATAGTTCTGCTTCTTTGTGCTGTTCTTCTGCTTTATTTGTGTTTTTTTCTGCTAATTTGAACTATTTATGCTTCTTACAGTTGCTTTCTACTTTATTCAGTTAGTTTCTGCAAATTAAGCTAAATTTTAGCTGTTAATAGCTAAAGTTAGCTTTTTAGGCTATATACACATTGTAGCAATTAGAACTTAATTCTGCTAAATTCAGCAAGGTTGTACTCCTTATGCATCATTATGCTAAATAAAATATTTCCAGCTACTTTTTAGCTGTTTTACTAAAACCTTTGGTTGTTTTAGCTATTTAAAAAAAACACTTTTAAGTACTTTTATGCTTTTTACTCTGCTAATTTTACAGTTTTACAGCACTTTCACCATCTGGGTGCTAATTTCAACTTCTGGCTTCTATGTTTAGTTAGTTTTTATGCTAATTTAAGTTTGACTTAGAAAAATACTTTCGCTGATAAACATTCTCAGCTCAATTTCTGCAGGTTTCAGCTAATGTTTTCAGCAACAGGCATTCACTCTAGCATTTCTGCAGGAAAGGCAATTTTTTTAGTTACTGTTTGGATTTATTTGGCTGAATTAGAACAATCCTGTTTGAAGGACGAAGAGATAAAAACTTCTGCAGAAAGTCTTAAAGAAGCTTTTTAATTTAAAAAAATGTGGAAAAAAAACATTTTTGTTTGTCGACACTGAAAATGAACTTTTCTGTTTTTCTGTTATTTTGTTATCTTTAATAAATTTTGTAGGAACTTTAAAGCTGGTCAGACTTTAGCTCTGATTTCTGAGCACCTCGTGTAAAAACATGACCTTTTCTGGTTCTTCTGCTCAGCATCGGCTGCAGCATCTCGTCCACAGCCGACGCTCTGACGCTCTTCGGCTGTTTGACTGAAACTCAGCGAGTCTCCTGGGTGGAGCTCAGGTACGACTCAGCGTTTTTCACTGTTTGCTTTTATTTTCCTGCGTTCTGACCCGAGCTCCTCTCCAGTCCTCAGAGTGAATCCTTCGTCAGCTTTCATGGAGCTGAAGCAGAAGACGTGAGCTGCAGGTCAGATTAAACACGACCTTTCTTCAGACTGGATTATAATCTGCTCTAAAGCTTTTTATTTTCATGTTTTTTCATCAGGTTAACAGGTTTTTGCTTGAAAGGAGGCGACGTAATGAACCGGCTGCTTCAGATCCTGCAGCAGGACCGGCAGCTTTCTTATCTCGAGTAAAAGAAAATAAAAACATTTTTACAGATTTTCACCAATAATCTGGATTATTTTCTGATTTCTTGATGCTTTTTTCCTGCAGTTTGTCAGGAAACCAGCTGGAGGATGAAGGAGTGAAACGGTTGGTGGATTCTCTCCCAGGACTTCACATCAGCAGCTTCATCAAGTAAGACTTGTTCAGTTTTTAGCTGTTTGAAGCTGTGAAGGTTTGACGGACGGATGTTTCCTCTCAGCCTCAGTAACAACATGCTGACTCAGCGCGGGCTGCTGGACGTCGTCTCCTCCCTCTCCACCTGCAGCAGGTTGTCGGCCGTGGAGCTCAGGTGAGTCTGATCACAGAAACAAGCAGGGAAACATTTGTTGAAATGTTTAAAGTTTGATGTGTTCCTGTGTGGATTTGTCCTGTTAGTCTGGGAGCAGAGCAGCGCTGTCTCCTCTGGTTCCGACAGGACGCAGGACAAACTCTCAGGTGACAATATGAAGGATTATAAATATATTTAAGTGATTTTATTTACAGTAGGATTTATTAAAAACAGGATGTGGGGAGTTTATCTTTTTATTTTAAGGACAAAAAAAGTGAAACCAAAGATTTCCTGCTGCTTTTCATTTAATTATATTATGGTGTGCCGTTTGTAAAGTTACAGTCAAAAATTACCACCAAGGTTTTTGTTTTATTTAGCCTTTTATAAAAAAAGAACAGATTTATTTTTCAAAGTCAGTTTTTCACCACATGATTCATAAATTGATAAATGTCATAGTT